TGTTCTGAATTGTGATTACTGGTAGTTAGTTTACTTAGATTTTGGCTGTATTTTGCGTGGTTATGTTATTTGAACCTGTAACTGTAAAGTGAACTGCGTAGTGCTAATACAAACATTATATGTTTAATGGCCAAGTATTCAAGTGTAAAATGTACTTTGTTGAAATTAAATAAAAAAAATCAGTTAGGTGAATCGATAATAGTTTTTATTTCAATAACTGTAAAGTCGAAGTTACCTTGTAGTTACGTATCTTAACTTCTTACTAATATTATGAATGGGGAAGTTTAGATGGATGTTTATCCCAGAACGGATAAATAGACCTCGATGTAATTTGGTACTGATGTAGAACATAGTCTAAGAACACAGGGTTACTTCATTTTTACAAATTCCATGCAGACAAGGCCGCGGGCGAAAGCTAGTTTAATAATGTACAACCTAATAGACTGTTAAATGTAAATTTATAGGATTGTAAACTGTTAAATTAATTACAATAATAACTTTGTTATACATCAAAGAAATGTCATCCAGGTTATTTTTGAGGCTAGAGTATCGTCTACATTCAAGTCTCAGTTGCCAGTTGCCAGTTGCCAGTGGTACTCTTACATAACATTTCTGTGAATGAAACATGTTCCGTGTTGCTAAAGCCAATGTAAACAAGGAAGCGAACACACAAACAAAATGAAGCGTACAACTTCATAGTCTTTGATCAAACTTGATAACTGGCTTGAAGTGAAATAACAGAAAACTACGACGAGTGTTAAAGATAAGTCAAAGATTAATAGAAATATTGCAATTAAAAAAAAACTGAAATGAACATCCGTTTTGCATAATCTATAAATCTAAACTAACAAAATACAATTTGTTTTGTGTTTTTATGTAACGTATAAACTCAAAAATTACGCGACCGATTTCAAAAATACTTCCACCATTAAAAATATATTATATCACTGAGTAACATAAGCTGTGCTTTCACTCTATTTTTTTTATAAATACATACAATACATCGTTTATACTAAGAAGTGCATTATAATAGTTTGCGCAATGGTCTACCTGCAAACATGGACAATCCAAGTGTCTACTAATATTGTAAAGAGGAAAGATTCGTATTTTATATGTATAGAAATGACTCAAAAACTACTGGGCCGATTTTGAAAATTCTTTCACCATTAAAAAGCTACGTTAACAGTGAGTATCAAAGGCTATGAATTTTAATATTTTTTTTATTTCACGTGTACGAAGTCGCGGGCACTAGTCTTTCTATAATTGTCTTATATCCTAGCACAAGCCGATTTTAATTGATTTTAAAATTCCTTTTAGATAGTAAAATAAACGTAGCTACATTGATTATTTCCATCCTTGAATCCTAGATACTAACATCCCATCTTATATTAGTTGGGTGGGCTAAAGAATATCCCATAAGCTTTAAGACCTATTTTACCGCCCTATAAATTCAAGGAATTGTTTTCATAATGTATTTAGATGGTTAGGGCGTAAATCTATTTAGATATATATATACAGGGTGTTATCAGCTTAGTTTGTGACCCTCCTGTATATAATATCCATTCGCTGTACAAACACCCAAGTTAGTGGCTTAACTCAAAAAGCCGTTGACGAATTTTTGTCATGTAATAACTTAATTGTATTCCAAGTAAAGGTTGTTAAGTCTCAGAATACAACACCGTGCTTATCGCCATAACAACTGACATTGTCTACTGCTTTTATTAGTAACAAAGAAATTCGCATAGCGGAACTGAAAATAAGGCTTGCAATACAGTGATTTTTGTGACAAATTTACAGACAAGACAATGATAAAATTTAATGTTTTGGAGGCATTTTATTTTCCGCAACCATGCAGTTTATCAAAAGTTTCTTAGCCGTGTTGTGGAATCGTCTGTAATGTCTACGAGTCTGTCTTTAGCATTATTTCCAAACCGGCACGAGTAAAAATCCTTTAAGAAGCGAGCGTATCACATTCTAAAAGCTTCCAACGCAGTATTGTGGATTGATGGGAGTCGATGTCACTTCGGTGTTCCCTCTGTTTGTGTGCCCCCTTTTCTATAAAAATAAATAAGAACTAAAACACTCCCAATTCAAATAGTTTATAGTTTATAGAAGATAATAGTTTGGGTTTATAGTTAAATTCTAAGCTCATTAGATCCTATAAAATCACCACTAATAGTTCCATGTTGTTTATCAACTGGTCCAACATCACTTCACTAAAATCTATTGCGTAAAACGGATCACATATTAAAACCATTAATTTCAGACACTCCAAACTTTAGGGCAAAATATCCGAACGGGATCATAAACTATTCAATTTATTTTACATCATTTGACAGATGTCAAAATTAGATTCGGATATTTGTACCACATGCTATCGCTAATTTTATTTTGAACTTTATACGTACGTGTTATAGTAGCTTTTCGAACGATAGTTTTGAAACATCAGTGGGTAGAAGTGCCCTGCAAAGATTAATCCAATAAAAAATATTGCCAGTAAAATGTAGTATTTAGTTGTTAAGTAGACAAAGCTTCGCCTGGTTCAGAACTCGTTGGAGTTAGTCTCGTAAAGAATAATCTAATATTTACTTGAAATATAAGAAATAAATACTGGTTTCATATATTAGCAAATAAGTCCTATTGAGATTAAGGTAATTTAACATAAAGAAATTAGTAGAATTCAGTAAATTTTTGCAATAACATTATTAACATACATAGACAAGTTACATTTTACGTTTTTGAAAATTCCTAATTGTTTCTGAACAAACACTTTTTCTCTTGTACCTATAACATTATTTAACAATATCTCTTTAAATCGCTATTTAAAAACAAATACACACATAAATCTAACCTCTTGATATATTTATTTGTAATATATTCTAGAGAGTTAGTACTCTACCCATTGTATAACAAATAATGAACATTTAAAGGCATTGTCTAGACATCTAAAATATAAGGAGTCGGGAAGTAAATTAGTACGGAAGACGTAGCTTCAAAAGTCCTTAAATCTGTCTTCTTAACACTCGATTAGCATAGAGAGCGAGCGAATATCGATATCGCGATGCGGTATCGATACGTGCCGATAGTAAATCGATTATTCGCGATAGTAAGCGAGCAGTTGCCTTCCCGAACACGTCTCTCGCCCATTTACTGAATGCACTTAATTCTCTCCATCCCGTTGTAAACACGAAACGGTTCGGAATGACAAATGGAATAAGGAAAGGGCCCGTTTAAAACGGCATTAAAATCGCAATTTGTATGAACGCACTGCCTCGAAATGAGCCAATATTGTGTCCGGCCGAGGACGGAGTCGCAGCGCGTATGAGAATACAATATTAAATGTGCATATTGCAAAATAACAATACAAAGGAAAACAACCTTTATTGTATAAGCAATAAGATTAAGTATTCATTTTTTAAATATTATATTTAAGTGTGTAAGACCTGAAGGTGGCGCCATGGTCCAGTAAGACATTGCGTGACACGGACAGGCATTCTTTGACACTTGGTATGACACGCGATAATGGGCTTTACGGTTTACGTGATTGGGGCTACAATGACGCATTGTCCAATAACCGATTCAAATCGTTCATAAATATCTAATAACGTTATTAGATGTTACTCTAGGGCTTGTATGAAGAGCGGCAACTCAAGCGTAATCAACATTTGTTCGGAGAATTTGCTAAGAGAGTGCTAACATTTTACTTATGCCCAGTTGACACTTGGCCAGTACAGTTGGACAGTTGCTCAAGCCAAACAGAGGTTAACTAACTGGTGCCAGTTACCATTCACACTGTACCAGTTGATTAACAGTCCAGTTATTGAGCGCTACTGGCCAACTATTCGAACCAAGTGTAATCCGCACATTAGACTTTTTATACTACTAATGTGATTGGACTACCTCTGTCTACCCCATTTATGAAGCTGTACGTGGTACGTAACGTTAAAGTACTGAGATAGATTACCAACTGGGCCATGGCGCGTCGACGCCGCAAGTCTAGACGTCTTGGGCTATGCGGTGCGC